GACACCCACAAATATGTGGAGAATAAACAACATACAACTAAAAAAATGACTGGGTCAAAGAAGAAATAAAATAGATCAAAAGATATATAGAGACAAATAAGAATGAATATACATACAATATATCAAAACTTCCTGGGATGCAAAAGCAGTATTAAGAGAGAAGTTAATATCATTACAGGCCTATCTCAGGAAACAAGAGAAATCCCAAGTAAACAACCTAATATCACATCTTAAAGAAGTAGGAAAGGAAGAACAAAAGCAACCCAAAGTCAGCAGAAGAAAAGAAATAATAAAAATTAAAGCAGACTTTAATGAAATAGAGGACAAAAAGACTATACAAAAAATTAATAAAACAAAGAGCTAGTTTTTTGAAAAGATTAATTAAATTGACAAATCTCTGGCTAGACTTACTAAAGAAAAAGGGGAAAATACCCATATAAACAAAACCATAAATGAAAGAAAAGTCACCACAGATAATATAGATATACAAAGATCACACTAGAATATGATGAAAGACTATATGCCACTAAATTCAGTAACCCAGAAGAAATTGATAAGTTTCTAGATTTATATAACCTTTCTAGACTAAATCATGAAGAACTGGAAAATCTAAATAGACCAGTCGGCAGTGGGGAAATTGAAACATCCATCAAAAACCTCCCAAAGAAATAAAAGTCCAGGAACAGATAGCTTCACCTACTAAACATTCAAGGAAGATTTAAAGACTATCCTTCTCAACTTCTTTCAAAATATTAAAGAAGAGGCAATACTTCTTAACACGTTCTATGAGGCCAGTAAAATCCTGAGGCCAAATACCTCAGTTACAGGCTCAATCCCCAGTAGCAGGGCACATGCAGGAGGCAATCAATGGATGCGTCTCTCTCACATCAATGTTTGTCTGTGTGTCGCTCCCCCTCCCTTCCACTCACTCTAAAAATCAATGGAAAAATATCCTTGGGTGAGGATTCAAACACACACACACACACAAAACACACACATACACACACATTAAAAAACACACTACAATGAGATACCACCTTACTCTTGTTAGAGTGGCCATTATCAACAAGACTAGAGGCCCAGTGCACGAATTTATGCACCAGTGGGTCCCTTGGCCTGGCCTGGAGGATTGCACGGAAACTGGCTCTCCAACATCTTCTGAGGGGTTCAGGCAAGGCTGAGGGACCCCACTGGCCCACAATTGGGGCCGGGGAGGGATGCAGGAGGTTGGCCAGCTAGGGATGGTATATGAGAGGGCTCTAGGGCGTGTCTGGCCAATCGGCTGGACCCCAGCAGCAACCTAACCTATCAGTTGGAGTGTCTGCCCCCTGGTGGTCAGTGCACGTCATAGCAAGTAGTTGAGCATCCTTAGCATATTAACATACTAGAGGCCCGGTGCACGAAATTTATGCATGGAAGAGGGGGTCCCTCAGCTCCGCCTGCACCCTCTGCAATTCGGGTCCCCTATACCTTTTTTTTTTTTTTTTTTAACTAGCTAACCTCTTCACATTTAAAAAAAATTAACTGAAATATCACCTACTCTAGGAAATCCTCTTTGAACAAATGTCTTTACAATCTGTATTTTCATAGTATTATATAACATTCTTTTTCTTTAACAGCTACTTAGAGTGGATACAATGTGGTTTTCATTCTTGCATCCGAATTTCTTTCTTCTTGCTCTTGTAATAGCAAAGCTTATCCAATTTACATTTGCCCTTCAAGGGCTTATATTTGGTTCAATTTCTAGTTGGCTCCCTGCTTTTTTTTTAAGCATTAAATTTGGGTTGTGATAGAAAGCCTCACTTGTAATCAAGCCTGAAGATCTCCCTATCTGAATATTTCTATAATACCTATCACTTTAGCATACCAGAAATTGTGTTCATTTATAGAAAATAACAATAAATGTCACCCGATCATTTGATCTTCTAGTAATATTTTATAGCAAGATGTATTTATTCTAGTAATTTAACTATTACAAAACTGAGGCATACAGAAATAAATCACATTGAACAATAAAGAATGACTCAAATATCAAAGCATAGTACACTTAGGGCCTCCCTTGTCCTGTGCCTCAGATACCATAGCACAGTACACAGTTCACATGGAACTCAGCTTCCTTTAAAATAGGAAGGGATGCCTTATCATGAAGCAGCTACTTTCACACATTTTTTTAAATTTAATTCGCAGTACATACTCTTTGTACTAATTATTAGGAAATCATCCTAGCAATTGCCTCTGTTCCTCTGTATTGTTGCCTTACATTCTGATGTTATTGCACTTTTATCATCTCCTCACTCTAACAAGGTTGTGAATTTTTTTAAGACTTGAGCTTGTGTTTCCCTGTCATGGTGCCTAGATAAATACTCAAATGCCATCCAGTCCAAATGTCTGTGATGAGAGAGGTCCATCATTGCTGGAGACCTCTGATTTTTATTTAAGGGGCCTCACTTGTTCTGCGCCTTTACAGAGGGGTGAGTAGGGGCTGAGGGAATTTGAGGAAACCCAGGCAGAATTCTCCTCCTAAATGGTTTTGCTAAGCCTGGTGCCCAGGACCACTGAGCATTTGTCCAATTAAAATCCAGGCACACAGCAATAACAAAGGCACTGGTCTCCTAGTGCTAATGTGTGGTGATCAAATCCCAGCCTGCAGGAACTCACCCTCCTGCAGTCAGGACTAGCCGCTGGGTAGACCTGGGCTGGTGCTTCTAACTCTGGGGAGCGGGAGACTTCTTGTGGCTGCAGGCTAGAGGCCCCAGACTCTGGGCCGTGTGCCAGAACAGGTCCCTAGTACAGGTTGTTCAGTAGAGTGGCTTCTTCACCTGGGATTGCAGGACAGCTTGGCCAGGCTCGGCCTGGCCTGCTCTCCCAGTGATCGTGGGGCGGCTCAGCTGGGCTCTTTGCTCTGTGATCAAGGGGCAGCTGGGCCTGGCCTGTTTGCCCCGTGATCACAGAGCAGCTTGGCCTGGGCTCACTGCTTTCCACTAACTGAAGCTCACCAGTCTCCTATAGGGTGGGGGGAGCTGACCAGTGGACATGGCAACAATCAAAGTGTCCTACGATTGAAGACTGGATAAAAAAAGATGTGGTACATGTGCACAATGGAATAATACGCAGCCTTAAGAAGGGATGAAATAATGCCATTTGAACCAACATGGATAGACCTTGAAAACCTTATGCAAAGTGAAATAAGTCAGTCAGAAAAGCTAAGAACTATATGATTTCGCTCAGATGTGGGATATAAGACTGAAACTCGTGAATAAAAACAGCAGTGTGGTGATTGCCAGAGAGAAGGACGCAGGGGAGAAGGGGCTCCTAATATGTGGTGATGGGGAGGAGATTTGACGTTAGGTGGTGGGCACATGGTATAATATGTAGATCTTGTATCATAGAAACCAACACCTGAACCTTTATGTTCATGTGGACCAGTGTCACCCCTATAAATTTAATAAATAAGTTTTAAAGAGAAATATATTGATATATTGGCCTGATGATGTGGTGAATCATCTGTAGAATTAATCAGTATCTCCATATTTTTTCTTTTCATTTGCATTAACCTTTCTTTCCAGGCAGAGGAACTTTTTTTTTTCTCATTGTCTCGTTGCAATGTAAATTTTTATAATATAATTCCAAAAATTTTAGACCTATTACAGAAAGTTGTTAAAATTTTTTTTGAAGTCTTCAATTCCTACACCATGAGGAAGTTAATGTCATATTTTATGGCTTGGAATAAGATTTGTTTTTGTGGTGCTTAAATTTAATGTCAAAGTAGAGTTTAACTTGTGTTTGTGAGTCAGATCTTAGTTTGTCTAACATTTGCATTTTCACTGCCTGGTTGTTAATAGCTTTCTAGTATAGGTGTTATATCTATTGTTCTTCTTGGTTTCTAGTTGTTATTAATGTGTACAATATCACAGCTTCATGTAGGTCAACTTTCTTAAGTTTCCTCTACCATTGACTTTTAGGAAATGGGAAAAATAAGTCTTCAGTAACTGGATTGTTTTTTTTTCAAAACACATACCACTGGAGATTCTCATAGTTTACTCTCTCTGCCATCCCTCTTTGGAAATCAATTCATGCCTATAGTGAATCACTGTACTGAAGGAATTTAAGATAGTTCTCAGGCTCAGCCAGTGTGGCTCAGTGGTTGATGTTGATCCATGAACCAAGAGGTCATCAAGATGTGGGTTTAATCTCAAGGTGGGGGCAATCAGGAGGCAGCTAATTGATATTTCTCTTTCATCTTATTGATGTTTCTATTCCTCTCTCTTCCTCTCTCTCTAAAATCAATAAAAACATATTTTAAAACAAAGATAGTTCTCAGGTGTGTCAGTTTCTCTTAGTATCAAAAAAAAAAGTTAGCCTGCATAGTAATTGTTTATTTTTAAGTGAAAAAGTTGACAAAATTATTTAGGAAAGTGCTATTTCATAGAGCAATAAATGACTGCACATTTCAAATATGCATTGTATCTAGGAATAAAAATAGTCTCCTAAAGTGTTAAATTAGACAAATACTCATATCAGAGAAGTCCTTGGTTATTAGAAAAACAGTCCTGACATGCTGCCCTTTTCTTTAAGAAAACATTATAATCTTACTAAAATTAAAACAAAAGAATTTTTTAAAAAATGTTTTTATTGATTTTGAGAGAGAGGAAGGGAGAGGGAAAGAGAGATAGAAACTCAACAATGAGAGAGAATTATGGATTAGCTGCCTCCTGCACACCCCTCACTGGGGATGTGCCTTGACCAGGAATTGAACTGGTGACCTCTTGGTTATGAGTTGACACTTAACCACTAAGCCACACAAAACTTTTTAAATAAAAATTATTTTCTGTCTTCATTCTTATTTTCTTTTGTCTTGAATAACTTTCACAAAATGTATCTTTATATCAGTGTCCTGAAAGATCCCAGGTTTCACTTGACTACTTTCTTATCTGCCTTCAGTACAGGTCCCTCCCTTCTTCTCTTTTTTCTCTGGAATTAATCCTCTACCTACTTCACAGGCCGATTCTTTGATGAGAATGAATCCCCTGTTGATCCGCAACATGGCTCTAAACTGGCGGATTATAATGGGGATGATGGTAACGTAGGTGAGTATGAGGCAGACAAGCAGGCTGAGCTGGCTTACAATGAGGAAGAAGATGGTGATGGTGGAGAGGAAGACGTCCAAGGTGAGCGTGGGCCTGGCTTCCATGCTGTGACCATGAAATCCACCATCCCAATTTGGTTGAATTTGTGTAGAATTTTCCCACTTATTAGTATCAGTAAGTCTTAATACAAAGCGTTTCAGTGCAGTTTTTCAATTGTATTTTGAAAACAATTTTATAATAGTGGTATTAATAAATTTTAAAAAATTATTTTAATTGTTATCAATTTTAGTTATATTTGTTATTGATATAGACACAATTTGAAACTCAGATTCTTGAGAAATTTTAGAATTAAATTGTTTAAAATGGTCCTAGACAAGTACTCCCAGAAAATAATTCCCCTTTTCAATTTCTCATCTGAAAGCATTTCAGTTATTCTAGGTATAAATATTGATCAGACAGCCTTTTTATTATCAAGGAAGCTGCAAAGGAAATAGTCTCTACACTGAAGATAAAATTATTTAGCATAGAAAGTTTGTTTTTCAAAAAATTTTTCAAAATTTTTGTCTGAGGTTTAAAATTTATATTTAACAATCAGTTTGTGAAGATTTATCTGTTTTATGTTTAATACACAGATTCAACATATTTTCCTTGTTAACTGTGTTACTTCTGAGCTTTTAACTGAGTGAAAGTTCAGAATCTACCTGTGTGCATGCAGCCCTGCCCATGCCTGCATATTAGTGTGTGTTGCTTCTTTGAAAGTGTTTAGGCCTGTTTACTGCCTGTTTACATCACAGTACAGTGGTTGGAAAACCGTGGCTCGCGAGCCACATGCAGCTCTTTGGCCCCTTGAGTGTTCTAATACCACTTCTTCAAAATAGACTCGCCCAGTCCAAAAACCGACTTCTGTGCATGGGCCACAAAGTTTCAATTGCACTGTATGTGCGTGCCTGCACGTGGTATTTTGTGGAAGAGCCACACTCAAGGAGCCAAAGAGCCACATGTGGTTCGCGAGCTGCAGTTTGCCCACCTCTACTTAGCAGTATTTGTGGAGATTTTCTTTTTTCTATGGAAGTTGATTATAAAGTTAATGTGTGTGTTTTAGATTTTATAATATTATGCATGCAATATTTTCCCAATGTAACTGTCCTGATTTACTCTGGTAATTAAATTTTATTTAGGTTCATAACAAGAGTTGTTTCTATAAAACTCAGAAGAAAATGTAGTCTTCCTAGAATACTACATATTTAATAGAAAAGGGGAAACCAAAGACTCTGACTTCCTCCTAGGCATTGTTTTGATAGCCCATTCTAGTTTTAGAAAAATGGTTTTGGGGAATAGAAAGAGATTAATCAAAGTTAGTAGTTATTTAAGGATTTGTTAATGAGAACTCACTTTTGGGTACTTTTGAATAAATTATACTCACTTCTTCTAGACTCTTACCCATTTTCATAAATCTTACCATTTTTTCTTACTGCTTTTGTGATTTGTTTGAGTTATACTTATTTGCAGTTATTTATAATGTTGCATTACATATATTTATATCATATCATCAATTAGAATGTAAGCTCTTAGAGGGCAGGCATTTTCATTTATTTTGCCTTCTATTTTGTTTGTATCTTTTTCTGCCTTCATATTCCTCCCCACCACCCATAGTTTTTAGCACACATAGGGTGCTCAGTAAATGTTGTTAACTAATACTTTTATCCTTTTCTCATTTAATTTTTATTCTTATAACTGTGACTAGAGTAATAACTCTTTAATTTCTGGTCTTATAAACTTGCTTGGTTTACACTTTAAACATTTCTAGTTTTCTTTCAGAAGGCCTTTTATCTCAGATGATTTTAGGTTTTCATTAGAACAGTTAATTTCAACTATAATTGAAAATCATTTCTTATGTTTTGGCTGTCTTAAAGATAATTACTTTTATCACAAAACTTCAGTTTAATATTTTTATAGTTTTTCTCCATATCAGGTACATTTCTCTTCACCGCCTTCTCTCTCTCTCTCTCTTTTTCTAGTACCCTTCTTTCTCTCCTACCCTCAGTTCTCATTGCCACTGTCCACTGCAGGTTCTCATTACCCTCATGCTGCCTGCCTTTACTTTCACAAAAAAATTAATCTATAGCCGAAATTGGTTTGGCTCAGTGGATAGAGTGTTGGCCTGCGGACTGAAGGTCCCAGGTTTGATTCCGGTCAAGGGCATGTATCTTGGTTGTGGGCACATCCCCAGTGGGGGGTGTGCAAGAGGCAGCTGATCAATGATTCTCTCTCATCGATGTTTCTAACTCTCTATCCCTCTCTCTTCCTCTCTATAAAAAAAAAATCAATAAAATATATATATTTTTAAAAATTAATCTATAGATTCTAAAGAATATAAATAAGGAAATGACCTAGGATGCTATCTTTAGTGAAGTAGGGAGGAGATTGGTCAATTTTTGGGTTTCTTCATTTGCAAATGAATCTTACTTGAGCTGGGGTTTGCCATTTAACATTTTAACCCCATTTTGGGGTTCACTTAAATGATAGCAGTAGAGGAGAGGGCAGCTACCAAGGGGACTCTCTTATAGGGAACAGAAAGATGCAAGAACATCAACTCCAGCAAATAAAGAGGAATAAATTTGGGTGAGATGACTAAAAAGAAATATGGGAGACCCAAATAATTCTAAACACGTTTTCATGTTTAAAAATGTTTCATGCTTAAAATTTTTAGGTATGGTATTAATTGTTCAAAAAGCAGGGAGGGGCAATTATGGCTATTCTCTAGTTAAGTTTGAATACTTGGAATTTAAAAGCATTTCTTCATAGCTTCGTTGTAGAAGTAGTGGTTGAGTTCCCAGCCCAGTTTGTACTTGCAGCCAAAGCAGACAGTAGAGTGGAAAAACACATTAGCCTGAGATTTAGGAGATGAGCTGTGTATTGCTTTTCAAGTCACTTAAATTCTCTGGGCTAAAATTTACTCATCTGTAATGCGAGAGTACTTAAAAGTGTTCTTCTCAGTGCTAAAATGCTGTGGTTACATTCACAGTGAATCACTACATATAACACAAGTATTATGGGAAATGTGTTTTAGATTTCAGCATTCCTGAAATACAACTTCTCCCAAACTCAGGAAAGAAAATGGAAACTACTCCAGCCATTGAGACTCCGCAGCCAAAGATACCAAAACAGGGTTCTAGCCATAGGGACTCTTCTCTGCTCTCTCAGGCATTAGGAGTTTTTCCTTGTGTACCTAGGATTAGAGATTCCAGCTGCAGGACTGAGGTTTGGGCTTCAGCTGAGAACACTCTGGCTTTATTCTCCAAAACTGGGTTATAAAATGCAGGTTTGGGTAGCATCTCTACCAATAGAGAGCTGAAGTGTTCCAGCTTTACCTCTGATGCCTGTTCATATGTATTGATCATTTGAGTCAACACTGTATACACAGTGTTTTCTTATAAAATTGAAGCCTAACCTTCCTGTGTTTACAGTCCTGGTTTATTTTAGTTTTTAGTTTCTGGTTTCCTGAAGCATGCTAAAAGAAGTATTTTATTTACAGTAGTGTAACAATATTTTTCCTGACTTCTTAAAGATCTACTCTGGAAAGACTGCACATCGGATGGATATATCTTTTAATCCCTTCTTTATTGTACCAAGAAGATGGACGTTTACAAATTCCCTATACTCTTATCTTTAATCTCAAAGAAGTTCCTAGTTTGTTTAGTAGAATAATGCAATGCATATTACTAAATATACGTATAAAAGGAGCTTAGCATAGTGCTTAAGTGCCTGATTCTAAGCCAAGACTACTTGGATTTGAATCCCAGCTATGTCACCTTGTGAATTATGTAACCTCTATGCCTCAGTTTCCTCATCTGTCAAATAGGGATAGATGTAGTTATCTAACTCAACAATTATGTGGGTTATATGATTTAAATATTTGTTCAGAACAGGGTCTTTCACACTGTAACACTCTGTGTTTGTTGAGTAAAATTGTATTTCTAGGTAGTAACACCTTAATATCAAAAACTAAGCTATTGGGTAACTGTAACATGAACCAGAAAGTAAGAGAAGTCATTTTTTAAGACTGCAGGAGCCAAAAGATATCATTAAAAGCCAAGTACTAAAAAGGGAGCCTCTTAGGTTCTGATTGAAATACTTTTCATTCTTTTTTTATTTTATTTTAATCTTCACTCGATAATTTTTCCATTAATTTTTTTTCTTTTTTTTTTAAGAGAGAGAGTGAAGGAAGGGAAGAGAGAGGAACAGAGACAGAGAAGAAAGAGGGAGGAGAGAGAAACATCAACGTGAGATACATTGATTGGTTGCCTCTTGCATACCAGGGCTGAATATCGAGCCTGAAAACAAGGTACATGACCTTGACCAGAAATCGAACCTGTGACCCTTAAGTCCATGGATCAATGCTCTAACCACAGAGCTACCTATTAGGGCAAAATACTTTTCATTCTTGTTCTAATATTTTAGTACTCTGAGCAGTCTTATTTTAAAACCTATAGTTTGTAGCAAAATTAGGAAAGAAGGATTGTTATTGGCAGATAAACTGATA